TTTTTTCAGCCATTTTTAAAATGTCCGTCTTGAAACTTATGTGAAGATATAGTAAAAATATTTACATAAATTTTTTGAGAATTTTAAAAACCTGCGTAATTATTTATTTTTTTGTTTAAACAATATACTTTTAAATTATTTATTAATAACAAATTTTTAGAATACGTGCATTTTCACGTCCGTAATATACCTATTTATATCTATTATTAAAAAAAAATCGTTTCAATATGTCGATTTTTTCTTTAGATAAAAATTCTTTGACATTGAAAAAATACAAAACGGTGAAATACGTGTCACTTATTTTTACACGTTCTAAAACATATCTCAAATTTACGAAAATCAGAAACAATGAGTTTTAAAAATGATGGAATTACTCTAATGTAGAACAGTTTTAATGTTTTTTACCAATTTTTTGGTGCTTGTTCATTCAAAAGTTGCTATTTTTGTCTTCTTTGAGGGATAAAAAATTTAATCCCCTTTTTATACACTGAAAAAAATGCAAGGCAAATACTTGCACGACCGCTCCGGAATACAAAAACCCTTCACTCGCAATCAATACGTCACCTTATCTCGTCGAAAAACTTTCATTTACCAACCAATTTATCTCATTTTTTCTCCGAAAGAAATGTTAGTTACCTTTCGGTTTCGCCACTTTACCAATCTTATCAATCAACTTCCGTTGACGTTTCCCCTTTGGGTATTCACTTTCTCACCAACATTATTACCTACTTTTACCCCAACACACGAAATGTGGTGTTTCGAAATAGAAAGGGTTATAGTCCCACGACATGCAATACTTACAACCATTTGAGATGAGTTAAATTGAAGAAAGTCCCATTTTTCAAGTGCACCAATCGATTGTTGGTTAGATATCTGCAAAAAAATTTGTTTAAGGGAGAAGCGGTTTGATTTATTCGCGTTTCAAGGGTACAGTAATGTCCTTTGGGGTGTATTGCACCCTTTAAACGTATAAATAGCCCCGCATAAATTCCGGTTAACTACCCAGAGATAAATAAAATTTGTAGCGCTAGTTGGAAGTTTAGGGGTCTTTTCAAATAATATAAAACAGAGTTTTTTGATTGGACTCGAGTAAACATCGAAATTTAATTAAGGTAGCGATCTTAGAAATTTAATCACAATTTATTTGTTTTTATGGCAGGAAATGTTTGTATTGTGAGCCACAATCTCAAACAATAATTGAAAGCTATATTTCTGCAAAATCGGGTTTCTTTTTCCAATAAACTTGGTGCGAAGTAACGCAAAGTAAGTTATTTTTTATTTGAGGAAACAAGCACAATTTCTGCCCGGAAATGAAGGGATTTTCACATAAACAAGCTTCCAAACAATTAAACTAATTGCGCAAAACTAGAAACAGAATTGTAATGCAACGAAAATATTTACGAAGTGAGTGATTAATTCCGTCGAGTAATTAGAACGGAAATAATTGCAAGCAATTCAATTTTATCAATGGAAATGTATTCAGCTTCTTGTGGCTTCTACAACGTTTTTTTTTTTGTATGATTTTGTCACAATCAATAAAATTTGTTTTATTATACATCTATCTTGATAAATTCTCACTTCACACGACAATTATCGGTTAAAGTTAATCACTTAATAAAATTGCGATAACGCCAATCGAGTAATATTGAAAAGATCTCTCGTAAAATAAAAATACCATCTCATAACTAATTAGAAGTGCTTGTGATCGGAGATTGGAGCGAGAATTGCGATTGTGAAGGGTGGAAATCGAGTTTTGAGATAATCGGTATTTCAAGTTTTAAGTGTTAAGTGCGGCGGGATATTTTTTTTAAATTTTGTTAAAAATAAATAATAAAATTAAGACCAGTAATAATTTGTTTTATTTATTTTTAATTATTTATTTTTTAAATTTTGTTTTTTGTTTTAAGTCAAGCATTCTTAATAATAATCTCATTAATATTTTGTATACAGGGTTTACTGCGAGTTGAAAAAGTCCATTAGTGACCTTTAAAAATTAAAAAAAAATAAAATCTAAAAAAATTATGTAGGACAATGATAGATACTAATCTAGTTCATCGCGTAAAATTATTTTCAATTATATAGCGTGTCTCAAAAATAAGTTATAATACAAACTTGTGTTTTTTTAAATGAAACACCATGTATTTCTTAGCGTTTTTGGATGTAGATTTTTATGACAACTTTTATTGGTCGATTTTGCTTAGTTTTGGGAATAAGACGGTTTTTTTGACGAAAACATGCACTTTTTAAAAATTTATTACACAAAAACTAAGACATCTAGAAATATTTTTTTACTACCGCAAAGAAGAAGGTACAAGCTATAAGGTTGTAACATTTTTTTAGTGTGTTGCATTTGTAAAGATAAAAAAATGAAGGCGCTTGTTAAAAGTTCAATAACAGTAGTAGGTGAAATACCGGTTCTGGACCAAATGTGGCTTTGATCTCAAAAACAGACCAATTTACTTAAATTTTACACTTTTTTTAATTATCAATAAAAACATCATTTTTCAAGCAAAACAGCCTGATTTTCAAGGGTAAACAGAAAAGCAGAACAACCCCGATTTTCAAGGGAAATCGTGAAATCCCCTAGAAGGATATTCTTTATAATTTTTTTCTAAAATAAATGTAGCAACAAACAGAAATGATAAAGAAATGTACAAAATGTGATATTGAAAAATGTTTAGAAATTTATTATAAAAAATGAACAAATAAACAAGGTATACATAGCATTTGTAAAGAATGTTGTGCGGTTTACYCACATGATTATTATGTTTTTAAAAGTAAAAAATCTGAAAAAGTTAAATGTGAATGTGGGAAAATTATTACAACTCGGTCACTTTAATATCATAAATCAACTCCATTTCATATTTTATACACTAACAATAAGGCTCTATGAAAAATAAAAGTACTCTCATAGGAGTGTATTGATAAAAAATTTATTTATTCAAATTTATTAATAAATTTTTATCTATATAAATGGAGACACAAAAAGGAAAACAAAATGTAAAAGACCTTCGAAAGATTGCTACTAATTTAGGRATTAAAAAAATCTACCGAATGAATAAGATTCAATTAACTGAAGCTATTAAAAAAATTGATGCTTCTCAAATCAATGAAAACATATTWAAAAAAAACAGCCCAAAAGAACTTTAAAAAAATTAGAAAAACTTTACAGAAAGTATTTAAATGATTAATTTAGTACTAGCTCAGKTCCAACATTTATCGAAATTAAAACAAACAGTGGAAAAATACGATTTTTTTTAAATAATAGATATAAATAAGTACATTGCGGACGTGATAAGATATGTTTTCTAAAAATTTGTTATTATCAAATAATTTAGAAATATAGTGTTTAAACGAAAAAATAAACAATTACACAGGTTTTTAAAATTATTCAAAAAATTTATGTAAAAACTTTCATGTCTTTACATAAGTTTTAAAAATGGCAAAAAAAAATATTTGAGAGCGCTACATCGTCTAAGATCGTCTGAAAGTAGCGTTTCCTTGGAAATTAAAAAGAAAAATTACCAATTACCCTCACTAATAAACTGTTTATAGAAAACACATAATTTCCAATAGCTTATTAACATTTATTTTTCAAAAAATATCAATAATAAATACAAATTCCTCGGTTGAGGAAGAGTACTCTCTATTTTTTTTTATTCTATTTTCTGATATTAAAAAAAAGTATGTAGATTTCGCGTACCTTTTATGAGCTTCGCTCGACTAAAATGATCATTTAAAAAATCGCAAAGTCTTTCAATTTGTCGATTAGATTACACAGGGTGTGTCAAAAGCCCCCAGCTCCAACATTTATCGAAATTAAAAACAAACAGTGGAAAAATACCAAATGTTACAAAACAAGAAAGATAACTTTTATCCTTCACTAACTTTAAAAAGACTTCGTCAGAAAGCAAAAGAAGATTATATTTATGGTTATTCAAGAATGACAAAAAAAAACTATATAATGTACTTATTGATATATATAATTTCATAATTGAAGAAATAGTTGCTAAAGAAATTAATTAAAAGAGCTATAAGGCTGTAACATTTTTTTAGTGTGTTACATTTGCAAAGATAAAAAATGAAGGCGTTTGTTAAAAGTTCAATAACTTAAAAAATTTTAATGGAGCACCCTATTTATTGTTTTTACATTTAAAAGATTATTAAATTGTCTTTCTAAAACTATTTACTTTTAGGTGTTTATAATCAATAACTAAAAAGATATTTTTCGTAAAAAACATTAAAAAAAATTACTATTGTTTCACTAGCCAAAAAGTGCACAGTTGCACAAGAGATGGAAGTAATATCACTTAATAATCACATTTGTGTTAAACTGAATCCATTATTTTTTATTTTTACAATAAAATAATTCGAATTTTATTATTTATAACGACTTTTATAATTTCTGGATAAATCAAAGGATAAGTGATCCGTGGTGGAATTACTATAGTGGTCCTAGTATCAACAATGCTCAGATATTGATAATCATTGTTGCTCCAATTAATATTAAATGTTAAATATCTTTTCATTTATCAATTCGAGACATTAAAATTTATTGTTTTAGATAGACAGTTTATCAATCTATTAGATGCAAAAATAAAAAGATAGGGTGTTTTATTTAATTTTTTTAAGTTATTTAACTTTTAACAAACTTCTTAATTTATTAATCTTTACAAATGCAAAACACTAAAAAATTGCTACAGCTATAAATTCTGTACTTTTTTCTTTGTAGAAGTAAGAAAAAAGTTGTTTTAGCTGTCTTAGTTTTTGTGTAATAAATTTTTACAAAGTGCATGTTTTCGCCAAAAAAAACGTCTTATTTCTAATCGACTAATAAAAGTTTAGCGTAAAAACATTGTTTTAAAAGGAAACATCCAAAAATTTTATTTTATTTTTTTATTAATATTTATCAAAGTCCTATACATTTTTTAAAATTTTACCATTGAAAGGTCACTAATGGACTTTTTCAACTCGTTGTTACACCCTGTATTTACCACAACGCAAATGATAAAAAGTAATTTAGAATGTTATCACATTTTTAACTTGCGTTTATCACAAACCTTGAAAATAACGATTCCGATTACTTGTTTTGTATTTTTTTTACTCGTATCTGTTTTTATTATTTCCTTAAACATTGCTAATTTTTATGAAAAAGTTTCAAAGTTTATTTTTCGAATCCATTTACGTGAAAATCTCTTTCCTGATTTGATGTTTCTTGTTTACACGTTCAACTTTAATAAAGCACATCTTTATATGCAAACCACATTTAAGACACCTTGAAAGCCCCTTCTTGACAAACTCATAAAAGTTGCAGAAATGTGAAAGCCGCAAAGCGAAGGGAGAAAAATTGAAACGGAAATTAGAACTTTTTTTTAAATTTATTTATTTATATTTTAATACAGGATGACTGGTGTGAGATTGCTAATTTCAATTTCACACTATCCATAACAATTCAATGATCTCGCTGGATAATAAAGAGCATCAGTGTTGCAAACATCGCGAGTACAATTCCTGCAATATCTCAAAACCCCCTCTGTGTTATTATAATTCACACAAAAACCCCCTCTGGTGTTGTTATTAGGGGGTATCCAACAGTCTCTTATTGCCAGTTGCAATGACCCATCTATAATTAATAAATTACAAAAAAAAAAGTTTCAAAAATTTTGATTTTTTTACTATTGAACCACTGAATTGATTCGTAACATTGTGAGTTCGGCCCTGGACATTCGATCACGTTACCGGACGGAAGTTGGTTACTACAAACTGTTGACGTTGCGTAACCATTCATGCAACGGTAACATCTGAGAGTAACTCCTAAAAAAGTGTAATTTTGGGGGAAAAACTGATTTTAACTTACCCAAATGGAGCAAAATCGCAATGAGAGATAGTAAAAAACACTTCATGGTTTCTTGGGTAATAATCGAAAAATATCAAATATTCAATGTTGGAGGTTTTATTTACGACAAGTGATAGAAAAGTGACTTAATTTACAGTTGTGATAAGTTTTGGAAATAAATGGCCAAAATTGTGATACAATTTAGGAGTATTTCCTTTAATAAGTAATAATAACGCAAATATTTTCACAATTTGTTTTTGTACACTGTTTTTTAGCTTTTGAGACACTCACTCGCTGCGCTTGTTTGTGCTTTAAACAGTCTTAATTATTTTTTTTTTACTTTATTTATTTATATTTTTAACAATCATAATCGGTCAGATTCTGCTTAATGAAAGTATTTTCAAGATGGTGGCACTTCCTGTTTCACCGGAAGTTGTTATTTATAGAAAGTTATTGCGTTTTTGGATTACTCAAGTGATTTTGGGAGTTTTTATTAGTTTAACCGTTTTTGAAATATTTAGAATTTTTAAAATTTTTTTGGATTTGAATCTTCCTATTCAAAAATCGATAACTCTACCATTTTTTATTATGTTGAAACTGTATTTCTTTGGTGTATTCATAATTGGAAAAATAATTAACAAACCGCCAAAATGTAATGTTACGTTTAGGAAACTTCAAATACCCTTAACTCAATTTTTCTAAATGAAACACCCCAATTTTTTCTTCACTAAATGGAAGAGAATTTAGTTCTGTTTCGATCTGTATTAACATTGCCTATACCTATGTTTGATAGTTTTCAAGTTATAGTAACTTTTGTTGATATTGTGAAAAATTTATTAGCTACTTTAGCATAGGTTTTCATAGAAATAAGAAAAAAATAGAATATCAAAATTATTCAAATTTAGATTAAATAAATTTAATTTGATTTACGAAAAGAATATCACAATTGTGAAAAAAAATGGCGTTTTTTCAGTGAGAAATATTTCCAATGRAAACTATGCGAAAACTACCATMGATAGTAACGAATTTCTTCAATTGTAAAAAAAATAAAATAACTTGGAAATCATTAAATTTAGGTATAGGGAATGTTAATACKGATCGATGCAGAATTAAATTCTCTTTCATTTAGTAAAGAAAAAATTGGGGCTTTCCATTTGAAAAAATTCAGTTACGGGTATTTGAAGTTTCCCAAACMTAACCTCYAATTTTGGAGGTTTGTTAATTATTTTTCCAATTATAAATACACGAAAGAAAAGATCTAACCWTTCTTTTTCATATGCCCAAATARGATTTTAAAATAATTAAAAATGGTAGAGTTATCGATTTTTGGAGAGGAAGATGCGAATTAAAAAAAGATCAAAAAAGTCTGAATATTTRAAAAACGGTCAAATTTAGGTATAAGGAAGTCTTATAAAAACTCTCCCAAAATCACTTGAGTAATCCAAAAACGTAATAAAAAACATAACTTTCTATTTAAAATAACGAAGTTAATACTCATTTCCGGTGTAACAGGAAGTGCCACCATCTTGAAAATTGTTTCATTGAGCAGAACCTAACCGATTATGGCTATAGTCAAAATTTTAGATAAATACCATTGTTAAAACTCCTAATATTTCTAATGTGGGGTTTAGCCGGAACACTCTGTATAAAACCGATAAAATTTGTCACTTTTTAAGTTTGTTCACTAAATGTAATATCGAATAAATGCTTTATTACAACCATGGGCGTCGTTACATTTTTTTTAGAGAGTTTAAAAATACATATTTTATTACAAACACAAAAACATGTTATACAAAATAGGAACATAAAACCATATTTTTTCTAATGGAAATTATAAATGAAACCATAAGACAGGAATCTCTAAAACCATAAATTGGAGTATAAAAGTGCAAAAGTTAAAAAAATATAAAAAGTAAAAAAATYTAAAAATTATAAAAGTTAAGCATAAAATAACACAAATCAGTAAATAACATGAACTAATAAATTCTAAGAAAAATGTAACACTTGGAAATCAAAACATAAAATAAAAACTCTTTCAAAATACATTCAAAAAAACAATAATCAATAGAAATAAAAAAATTAAAGAAATAAAAGTTTTAAATTTCGTTTTATTCAACCAAAATCATCTATGATAAAAAAGTTAAAAAATGTTACTAAAAAAATATTAAAAAAAAACAAGTTGCAAAATGAGCGTGTTTTTGTATTTTCTATTAGACGTGTGCAAAAAAGCCATTTTGAATCGTGTTTTATACAATTTTTTTTCCAATTGGTTGTGAGTAATCCAAAAACGCAATATAAACATAACATTCTATTGAAAATAAAAAAGTTAATACCAATTTCCGGTGTAACCGGAAGTGCTGCCATCTTGAAAATATGTTCATAGAGCAAAATCTAAACGATTATGGTTATAATCAAAATTTTAGATAAACACTTCTTTTTTTTTCTTTTTTTATTCTCTGTTATTTGTTTCGAAAAAAATACAATTTACGAGTTCAACTTTTTTTACGTTGCTGGTAAGAAAAAATTAGTCGCATTCTCACGTCAAAATAACACAAATTGTTATTTTCTTATCAGAAATGTTTAAAACATCTCCAATTCCAAACCAAACAAATCGGTTTCAAAACTAAAAACTCCAACAAAGCAAAATGTTCTTCTTCACCACTCAGTCAATTTTTCTCGCACTTCTCCCCACTTTTGGTAAGTCAAAATCACGTCAATTTTTATAAAAAATATTTTTTCAAGCCTTGACTTTGACCTGCTACTCGTGTCAAAATGGTTACGAAACTGAAACGCAATGTAGCAACCAATTACCAGCCGGTATTTGGGAAACATGCGACCAACCAAACTCACAATGTGTACAATCAATCGAATGGTTTCAACGTAATTAAAAAAATAGGAACATTTTTGAATAATAATTTGAAATTTTTTAGACGGGGCTTTGCGTCTAGCTGTGCGAAAATGTTGGGCCCCAAGTGGCAACAACACAAAAAATTATTGCCAAAATTATAAAAATAAAGTCGGGAAATTGAAATTCTGCGAGGTTTGTACACGCGACTTGTGCAATAATAAAAATTTGTACAAACCGTTGAAAAACACGTGTCGGCCAAACCACCACCACCACAAACATTTCTAATTAAAATAGATAAAAATTAATTGTGTTTTTATCACTGAATAAATAGTAAAAGAGTGCCTTGTTGTGTCATTTGTCACAATGAAACGTGTCATTTTGTTTGCCATACTTCCAGCTTTTGGTACAAACTTTATACTTTATTTTTTCTACCACTCATGAAATTTTCTCAGGGCTTACTTTTCTCTGCTACAACTGTCAAAACAGTTACGAAGAAGAAGGGGTGTGTAGTACATGGTTACCATATGGTAATTTCATGGAATGTGATGATGAGGGGGCTCAATGTTACCAAAGTATTGAGTGGTTTCAAAGTAACGTGATTTTTAATTTTTTCAGTTTTTTTATTTTTTGTAAATTTCTAGATGGGGCCTTAAAATTAGTTAGGAGGGGTTGTTGGAAGCCTGGAAATAAAACAGGGACGTATTGTGACAATTTTGAGAATCCAGTTGGGGAATTAAAATCCTGCAAAACTTGCGAGAACGATTTATGTAACATGGAAAAAATTCTCGAAGTGAAACAAGCCTGTGTTGCTGCAATTTCAATTCTTTAAGTAAATTTTAACTTACAAATATTTTAGTTGTGTGAGATTTGAGAACGCCCCCGGATCCAAACGATCAATCCTGTTTTCCACTAGTGATAATTGATCTAAACTCAAACGTGGAAAAGTAGCATTGCTGATGTATCGTATTTGATTATTCTGCAAATATCTGAAAAAGCGACTATTTTAACGGTTTGATGCAAATTCTCGACTCACAAAAGCCGGAGTTTTGCAAGCGGTGCTAACACGTCGCCCTTGATTTCGCTGATTTTGTTCCCTCTCAAATCCCTGAAAATTTTGAAATCTAAAACCGAAAACTCTTAATTAAAAAACTTACAGTTCCTCCAGCTTTGCCAATTTCCTGAAAGCATCACTCGAGATTCGCGATATATGATTGTGTGTTACGGATCTGGAAAATTCTTTGTTTTGTTTGTTTTTTTTCAAAGAAACTTACAATAGACGTAAATTGTTGTTTTGTGAGAATAAGTCAGATGGGAACGTTTTGAGATCATTGTTGTCTAAATGTCTGAAAAGTGAGGAATGAGACGCAGCAGGGCGGAAAAATTCACTTACAAATCATGGATGTGGGTCAGTTGGTGAAATGTGTGCGGTTTTAGTTCGTCGATGTTGCAATGAGCAAAGTTGCTAGAATGAAAAGAGTTTGAGAAATTACGTTTTTCATACAAAAATTTACTACACAAGGTGAAAAAGCTGTTTTTTAACGATCATTTCCAAAAAATCATACTAGCCTTGCAATTTGACAGTTAGCAATTCTGAAAATTCTGGAAAACTTTTCGAACTTTTAGTTATCAAATGCAAAAAAAAAATATTCACTTATCGCAAAGGGTTCAAGAGCTGTGATGTTTTAAATGTGCAAGTGAAAATTTTGACCAAAAAATTGACACATGTCAAAAACTATGACAGATAAGTAGTAACAATTACGGTTTATTTTACTCAGTTTGGAGAGGAGAATTTAAAAATGCAATAAAAATAAGTGGTTACTATTTAAAATTTCAAAGTTACCGCCAATTTCTCGTAGTTCCGGAAGTTCAGCCATTTTGAAAATAATTTAATTGAACTCAGACTGGTCGATTTGGGTTGTGTACAAAATTTCAAATTCCTATCTGCATTAGAAGTTAAAAAGTTTCTAATGTAGCCCTTAAAGAATCACCCTGTATATACTACAGCCCAGCCATATTTACCTTGAATTTCAAGCGAAAATTATTTAATTGTTTATGACAGTCAACAATTTAATTAAATTGTTTTAGTTACATCGAATCGAAGTTATATTGTAGTGCATTTAATTATTGAAGAGAAAAAATTGGTAATTTTAACAGCAAAGCAAATGCTAATCTAATAATAATAAAGAGAACAACTAGGAGTCTGGAAAAGCAATTACAAACTTTTGATGAAGTGAAAATTTAATTAATGATTGTGGATTCACCACCAGAATTGACGTTAAATTGAATGAGAAGAAAAAATAAAGTAACAATTTATTTAACTGTTTATACAGAATTAAATTTATGACCTGTTGCTTTTCAAAGTTTTGTCTTTCGTTTCCGGGAGACAAAAATACTCAAAAAAGACATCGCAAATTGTCAGAAGAGTGAAAAAATCGAAAACTGCAAGGAATTGTGTCCATTTTTTCCTCCTCTTTTTTAATTTTCATTTTCAATGCAAAATGAGGTTTTATTTAAATTGTGATAACATCGAATTTACGAGTTTTGTTTGGATGTTGATAAAAATTATTGTTTTTTTGCGACTATTTCTTACAAATTCGTATATAATCTTGTTATATAACAAAAAATATCTTTTTCAAGTGTTTAAGATTGAAATACATTTTTT